AGGGTGCAGTGGCTCACGCCTATAATCACAGAGCCTGGAGAAGACGGCTTGAGGCCCACAGCCAGCTATGATTGAGCCACCACTCTCCAGCTTGGGTGACAAAGCAAGACCCTTTCTCTAAAGAATGCTTTGAAATAAATAGTAAAAATTAATAAATAAAAACAGAAAAACATAGCTGATGAGAAGAAATGTAAAGCTCAGACAGTCCCCCAACTATCAAATTGCAGTAACAGTTAAAAGTCTTCTGGTCCTGACATTTGGGGCTAGAAGGCCCCATTTTGCAAATGATGTCACAGAGGGATGGTTGGAGGCCAGCAACCTCAGCAAACTGAACGTTAGCCTCAGAGTTCAGGGTGGGGGGTAGGACAGGAGAAGCTTGGCTGCAGCCAAGGAGAGCCCAGCACCAGGCCCCAATGGGGCCCAGGACTGCCGCCGGGCTCTTTGCAGTGGTGCTGTGGCACCAGGGTCCTGCCCTCGCTCCTATCTTGCTCTGAGAGTCGAGGTCTACCTGAGCTCCCGGCTTGCCTGGAGCTTGTGTGTCTGTGTGTACTCTCGTGTCTGTGTGTGTGGATTTGTTAAGAGCCATGGAAATAAGCATGAGAGAGTGAGTCTTATACAGAAAGAGGCAATTCTAAAAAAGATTGTGTGTGCGTATGTATTTGCCCTGTGTCCACTGTGTGGCTTTGTGTGTGTGCGTGCATGCATGAGATGAGTAAGTCCTGACTTTCAGGCAGGAAAGAAACTGTCGGGGTTGTGGCAGGACAGGAGCGGAAGGTGTGAGTAGGGCCCTCCATTGTGGGTGGTGCTGGGCTCATCCTCCAGCCAGAAGGAAGCTGGCCTAGCAAGTGACACAGGCAATGGTGGGGTGTCTCGGATGAGGGCAGGATTGGGAGCAGCCCACCTCCCGACTACACCTTCTGGGGGGGGGGGAGCGGTAGGCATTGGTTCCCACACATACGTGTGTACATCCTCACACAGCACACACATGTGCACACACACACACCGGGTGTGCATCCCTCTCCCTCAGCCCTGAGCACCCCTGTCTGGTCAGCAGCAGTGGCTTTGCCACAACCCCCAAGACCTTCTCACCATGGGCAGGTGATGGGGATGCCAGCCCCAGCCTCTGCCTTGACATCCTTTCTGTCTCACTGTAGGACTGGGCACAGCCTGCTGTCCAGGTGGTGAGATGGCCTCTCTCCAGTGCCTACTGACCTAGGGGCCCCCTCCTTGGACTGTGGATTCCCAGAGGCAGAGGCCTCTGCTGGGAACCTGTCCAGAGCAGGGCACCCAGCAGGCAGCCGGGTTAGTGGTGAGAGAGGCCTCCCACCCTGAAGCCTTGGTGGTTGTCCACGCCCCTGGGGGCGGGACTGGCTGCAAAGGAAGTCAGTCTGCTTTTGGATGAGCAGCGGTTCAGGTTCAGACCAG